AAAACCTTGATAGTATAATTTGAATTTGCTTTTGCTAGAATGGAAAATACATTGAAAGGAATCTAGATTTTTTTAACTGAATTGCCTCAAGGCTTTTTTTCCTTTTTGTCTCAAGCTTAAATTTTCTATACTTTGCCGGAACAACTCTATGCAAGGGTTGCTCTGTACAGACTAGTGAAGCCAGCTCTTTAAAATCCAGGCTCTTTTCCTCATCTCTGCTGTCCTCTTTTTAGGAACCACCTCATCTATATTCAGCATTCCTTCTTCTCTTCCATTTCCCCGTTTACATTTAGGCAAGCCTAGAAGTCTGCCTGGGATCCATTCCCCAAAATAGCAGTGTATTATTAAACTGATAGCACGTCACTGATACCATGTTTGTTCATAAATACAGTACGTCTCATCAACAATTACCTTCTCCCTGGAAGATGCTTAACCTCAAGTTGAAGCAGCATAAGTCTAGAGTACACACAGCACTAATACAAATGTTAAGACTAATCCACAGCAGAACTTGTCTTCTTTCAATATTAGCAGTGTAGTAAGGTACCATACTCTATACATTTTTAATCTTATTCCTGCATCAGTGCACTGTAAACTAACAACAATTCAGTATTACTTATTTTCCAATGGTAGCAAGACGACCTTCCCATTTAGATTTGTCTCAGTAAAATCAAACTGCAGGTGAGGAGGAGGCAGCACTTTACCCATTGGATTATTTCATCACTTAATAGATGGCAGTTAGTTCCCTATACTTCTGATGAAGGCTTAAGCTGATGCCGTGTCTTCTTAAAACTGACTATAGGCTCCTATGTCTTGATGATTTTAAGATCTGTATCAGCAAAGTAAATAGAGTACAGTGGAAATACTAGACAAATATAAAAATTAATGTTGTTTTGAAGGTAAAGATGTAGAATTGGCCACACCTGCTTACCACACAGGGCTGATAGCAGGAACTTGCAGTACAGTGACATATTTAGGATTAACGTCTTGCAGATTGCTAAACTAGTGTGGCTGTACAGCACTCCATTTACACGAGTGTACAGCACAGCTATATGCAGATAGTGCTATGATAAGGTTGCTAGGAGTCAGCTCATTTCAAAACAATGTGCTGAGCAAAATGGAAAGTTCGCCTTGTTTTCTGTAAATTAGAGGTTTGAAGGCTATATAAAATTGGTTCTGGATTTGAAACCACCTTGGCAGTTATTAGTTTTGAAGTTACTTTTTTTGAGGGTAGAATGCACAGCTGCTGTACAAAGCAGCAGTCTTGCTGGGTACACAGCATCTCTGAAAATCAGATTCTGTTTTGTGGTTTTTTTTTCCCAAGTTCTCCTTTGCTAATAGCTGAGCAGGGTTTGGGTTTAAATTACTAGCATTAGCAACACAGCATATTTAGTGCATTAGGGGACATCAGAAGGAATCTTATTGTTCTACTTCATGATAAGGACACAGCAAATGGGGTTCACTGAAACCACTAGAGTACCCTGGCTGTTTTTGTGGGTGTTACCCAGTTAAAGATCTTCAGCCATTACCCCTCAGGTTTATTTGTAAATTTCAGAATACCAAGCCTCATCGCTATTCTACATGGGTGCCTGGTTACAGAAAAAATATTTACTTTCTTCCTTATTCTAGTCTATTTGTTTTCCCTAATTCTCTGCCACATAATAAGGAAAGTAAATCTAATGACAATCTCTCACACTGGATTATGTTTTAGACCTCTTATCAGCTTCTATTGTGTAAATATAATCTGATTTATGGGAAAAGAACTGTTACCAAATGAATGTTTCTGTGAAATTTTTGGTAAAAGGTAAAAATATATGAAGGTTTTTTACATCTTAAGCCATTATTAGTAATGTTTTGCTCATGCCACACCTTCCTGATTGGACAGAGAAAGTGTGTAGCTGGTGGGGCTTTACTGACCTTCCTGATTAATGTTTCCAATTCTTTTTTTTTTCTTTTTTTTTTTTATTTTTTAATATAAACTGTGTGTGTGATGTTGTTCCTGTATTAAAGTTGCATGTATAGGCGTGGGAAGGATGTGTATGGGCAGTGATGCCACAGAACAGTATTAATCATTACAACTCTTGCAGAGCTGCTTAGAAACCGGATCTATGTGAGATTGTGTTCCAGCAAGTTCAATTCCCAAGAACCTGGACAACTAATAATTTAAAATAGTGCTTCACAATATCTGGATGTATTAAGTTCCATCTTATCATGCAACTGCAAATATTTCTTATAGCTGCAGGTATGCCAGAGGACTGCTGCCATTCAGAAACAGAATTACCCATGTCTTAATTGTGCTGAATTGCCTGGCATCTCTGCATTACCAAACCACAGCAGGACTCAGAACAAAGTGTTTTACTGACTGTGTACTATTAATCCACATCTTATAGGCTTAACGCCAGGTCTTTTCATCTATCTCATCTGGACTATAGAATGAAATAGTTTCAACTGGTGGATTTAGAGGTTTTGTAAAATGAGTAACCTACATTCAAAGATTTGCTGCATATCAGGTAGAAGAAGGACTTCTGGATAGACTGTTTATAGCATATATTTATGAGTGTTGATAGATCATTTGTTTTCTCCCCCCCCCCTTTTTTTTTTTTTTGTGAGATGAGAGACCATACTGAGCACTTTTAACTGCAGGATGAGGCTCACAGTTGTGAATGGAATTGGATTTACGTGACTAAGTACTTCTGACAGGGATCCTAAACATACTTTCTCCTTTGGTATTTCCTCTTAGCTAGATCAGCCTGTTGAAATTAGACATTTCTGTATTTGTTGAACAAGGAGCCCAAAGATGTTAACTTTCACCTGTGAATACTGGAGGGTAGAAAGACATTATAGTTAGGGATCATGACAAAACTCAAGCAGTTTTTGTAAAATAAAAGTGAAAAGGAGAAACCACTCTATCCTTAAGAGATAACTGTAAATTGTCAAAACAGAGAAAAGCTATGAAGCAGAGGTGTTTCTATCTTACAGGTGAGGGACTGAGTGTTGGCTTGCTGAGGTTCATAAAACAAACCTCAGCTAGGATCAAACATAAATGTCCTTACAAAAGGTAGTGCTGGAACCAGAAGGATGTTACTCACGATATCCCAGTCATTACTGCTGGGAAACCAGAAGACCAAGGCTCTTGTTTGGTTTTTACTTGAAAATCTTTATATGCATGTACACAGATTTTTTCCAGGATCCATCTCTGACCAAGTGAGGATGAGCTGTACTCTACATGCAAAAGGGACTAAATGCTCACAGTGCTCACAGAAACACTGAGCATACATACAGCTAAAAAAGGATACAGAGATAAGTACATCAGGTACAGAGTTGGGAAGCAAAGTTTAGAATTCTCATTATCAGATCAGACTCTATTTGCACAGTAACCTGCTTCCCTAATTAACAAGAGAATTTCTACAAAAGCCACTGGTGGCCACATGCCATTTTTTCTTTTTTAAAACAATAAAAAAAAATATGTTACAATATCACTTAAAATCACCAAAAGTTTCCTTAATTTTTTATAAATTTTCTGTATGTCCACAAATCTGGAGTGATCTGTTAGTTCTAGATTGGTTTTTCTCCAACTTTAGCTTCCTATTCTTATAAAAGTAAAAGAAATTTCTCAACCCTTATAATTGTCCTCAGTATTTGCACGACAAGTGTGTAAGCAAAACTGAAAAGGCTCATTCCTGCCCTCGTTATTCAGTCTTCACTTCAGCGATGTCATTAAACAAACAAACACTATATAAAGGGGACTTGTGTGAACTGCTCTTTCATTTCACTTTGAAGCAGAACGGTAAGTTGAATTTCCTTTTAATAAATCACAAGGAACTTCAGCTAGAAGGCAAACCTGTTCCTTTCATTTCTGTGGTCATATACATTTTTAAATTAAGTTTTCCTTTATTAGTTTGTTGTTTTGTGGTTTTCTTTTTTATTTGCCTATATTAGCAATTTTACTGGATGAGGACATGCCTAAAGGACACCAGATTGTAATGACTGATGAAGGTCATTAAAACTGGATTAAAACTGAGCAGCTGCTTTTTCCATTTTGATATATAACTAATCAGGACTGTGACTCTGCATCATAATACAATTATGAGCCAAATGTGGTAGTCCATTCAAATGTAATTCCCTGAATGATCAGCACCAGACAGCGTACCTGTTGTAATTGTATTTCTTTATCTCAGGGAGGTAAGTCTTTCTAGTTACCTAAAATAGGTTTCTGTTAGAGGTTTTAATAATCTGCTTTCCAAGTAATTGGCTATCATTGTCAGAGGTGTCTGCTAGCCTTCAATATAGTAAAAGGTATACAACTTAAGATACTTCAGATTCAACACATGAAATTTGACGATGCTTTTAATACAGCACATGTGTTCTCAGGTGGATTTGAAATTTCCACTTGTTAAAGGATTAGAATCTATAGGTTAAAAGTGTTTCATAGTCATGATCTCTTGGCACTGAGATTATAACGCTACTTAATGTTATATCTCAAAGGATAAAATAAGATTAATAGGCTTATTAACAACCAGCAAAAATGCATTTTCTACAAGATTGATGTTTTCAAGCTGATGGAATTCTGTTCAAAAATGGTAGGAATGATAATCGAGCTATAAAATGTTGCCCATGTGTAAAACACTATCACTCTGCTTATTTCAAGGAAACGTGCTTAAATAACACTGTGCTTAAAGAGATTGCTAACTAGCTCTGAACATCACAACAACCACTGTAACAGATTGTACTTTTCAGATTGGTAACATATACACCCATGTTTCGTTGAATAATTATATCCCTTAAAAACAGCTGATGGCTTAAGAGCTATCAGTTACATATGAGAACATCATTTCTCAAGGATTAACCCAACAAATAGTTGGTGATAGCAAAAAGGAAAAAAAAAGTATTTTTTTAAAATGGGGGTGAGGAAGAAGATGGGGGGAGAGTATTCAATTCTATAAGCAAATGTCTGCAATTTCCTACAGAATCATTGCCTGACAAATACATGGGTTTTCTTACAGCTGGCCTGAGCAATCATGTTGTCTTACTCATCCTACATGCTTACAGCAGTAGCTGCTTTGCTAGTGACTTGCAATGCACTGCCTAAATATCCAGGAATCCCTGGGCTGGCTAGATTCCTTGGGCTGCCTGGCAGAGACGATCTGACAGGACAGACACGTCTATCAGGTAATTAAACATCCCTTTTTTTGCAACAATTCCTTGTCATGAGGCTGCATGAATAAAAAGAGTTAACACACAAGGACATGTGCCTTTGAGGGAGCAGGTGTCTTGAGCAGAGAAGGGAAAACTGAATAAAGGACTTAGTTTAATTTTGTTTTTCTAGAAGAGAGCCCTTCTCTCTCTCCTCTGTTGAAATGAGCAGGTTATCAATACTTAAACATATAACTGTATTACACATAAACATACATATATCTATCTTTGCAGTGCTTTCCACTGACTTTCCAAACAATATGACTTTTTTCACAGCAGAAGTTTTTGGGGTTTTTTTAAGTATGAAGAAAATGTTATTACAGCATTCACAAGTGTAATTAAAAGGCTTCTGGCATGTTTCTGTAGTATTCAAAGAAGCTATGTGCAAAAGTAGTCTGGGAAGCAACACTTTGCATTGTGTAATTTTCTTCCCTTGTAGAAATGCTTTCTCTGGATCCATTACCAAGGATAAAGCACTATCAAATTCAAAGATGCAATACATTTCAGTTTGATATTAAGTTCTGTTTCATCCTAAAGTTTCTAGAATATGTATCAATTCGAAAGAAAAATATTCTTCTCTTCCTTTTTTCCAGGTCTCAGAGGAGCCCCTGGAAGCCTGGTGGGGCCTCCTGTAAACCAACTTACTTGTCCACAAGGTGAGAAACAAGAAAAAGGGGATACTGGACCATCATGTGAAACAGGCTGATGTCCTAGTAACATCCTGTCAGTCAAACTGATGTTTTGTTGGGTCAAATATGTCATTTTCTCACTGACTGCAGTGAAGTATGAATTGCAACATTCAACTCAGAATGAGGGAGATGAAGCAGATTTTGTGCTTCTACATTGTCATTTGTTTTAGTTGTGAATAACTGGATTACAGTCATGGAAGCAGACTCGTAACTTTATTCTATATGTAGGACCTTTGTTACCCATAGAGATTTGACGGAAAAAAATAAAAAAAAACAAAAAATAAAAGTTATCTACTGTTACAGTCAGCTCCTATCGCTAGCAAGCAGTGCTGGATGGACTGTATTTCACACGATCTAGACCCTCCATACCAGTGTTTGTGGTATCCACTGAGATAAGATCCTACTGTAAAAAAACAAACCATCAACCCAACCCAGCAGATTAAAAAGAAAATGGTATGGTGCCATAGAAATTATTCCCTCCCAAAAATCTCTCTTGTGCCTGTTCATTATTTAGAACGAAACAAATTGTTTGAGAAACATAAAGCTTCAACCTAGAAAAATTCATTTTCTTCTGTGTAGGGGGGTATTATCATATTTCAATATGGTAATTAGCATATTTCAATAGGTTGGAGGATTTTATTTGCTTTAATATAGGCTAACAACAGTGTAGAAAGTACTGTGAAAACATTTATTTTACACCAGATGATGTTAAAAATATACACTGTGTGACAGCTTTGGAAAGTGATTGGTTTTATCGAAAGAATTGTTCCTATTAGCAGTGCCTGCTTGATTGTATGATTTACTTTTTTGTACTTTCTAGGTCTACGTAATTCTCTGAACACTGAACTCCACAAAGTTTTAGTAAATTTGAAACACCGACTTTCCAGAATTAAAGGCGGTAATTTTTCCCATTTTTACTTTTTCAGCTCACAATCAGTTTTAAGTGCAAGAGGCAAATTACAGCATCATGACTTGCAATAAAGAAATTGCAATTGAAAATGGTACTACATCCAAAAACTCAATTTCCTCATCCAAAGCAGGGGAGATCAGAACTCATTTTCCCTGGAGAAGCAGATTTCTCTCGGGAACACTGATGTGCATTTATTCAAATATGATTTATAAAACAAAAATAATCTAAATGATGTTGGACTTTCCACATGAATTCATGGGAACTCCTCAGCCTTGTACCATGTTGGTCTGTTTCTCTAATCACTTCATTTTCTCTTCATCTCTTGATTTCCCTTTCTTTGCTTTCTTGTCAATATGCAATAGGAAGTTGAAAAAGCTAACTAGTTGGTTTTTTTTTCTTTGTTTTAGTGCTTGTTTTGAAGGAGAAAATAAGAGAAGTAGGAGAAAAAATACTTGCCAGCAATGGGAAAAAAGTTGATTTTGCATCTGCATTAGCATCCTGTGAAGACGGTAGAGGAACTCTTGCAACTCCTATGAATGAAGAGGAGAATAAAGCTATTTTGAGTATTGTGAAAAAGTATAACCAGTATGCTTACCTGGGCATTAAAGAGGGTGAGGATTCAGGCCAATTTAAGTATCTAAATGGCATGCCTGTGAATTATACCAAGTGGCACCGAAATGAGCCTAATGGCAAAAGGACAGAAAAATGTGTAGAGATGTATACAGATGGGAGCTGGAATGACAAAAAATGCAATCTGCCTCGCCTCACAATCTGTGAATTTTAAAGAATGACCTTTCAGCCACCTCAGAGAACCAAGACAATGAAATATCCTGTGTTTCGGGTTTATGCAGCTTCTGAAATTATTCTATGTCAGAAAATCTAAAATTAATCATATTATGGTAATTTTTATCCTTAAGAAAGCATCAAATGTGGTATGTGATTAACATAATTAAAATGTATCTAATCTGATGTGTTTATTTCTTTATAGGGTTGTGAATAGCTCAGAATTCATTTTTCATGGCAAAATGTCTCTGTGCACTGTGCCTTTGTGAAGGTAAAATTTTCAAGGTTTACCTTGGGATATAGGAAAAGTCTGAGACTAAAGTTGCCCATGACATAATAGTGGAAGCATTTCTAAGTATTTAATCATTTCTGCCTTAAGAGATGCACAGAGGTTTACTTCACTGGAGCAATTATAGTTTTGGGTTTTATATGTCTCCTTGAATTATAGGGCTTTTAATTGTGTCATACTGAAGCATGCACTGATTTATTCAGCATTCATATCTAACTTTCATTTTATAAAAATATTACCAGTCCCAGACAGAACTAATTTTCCTAGTTTCTGAAGCTATTCTATGTAAAACACTAATATAAGCACTGCATTAGGTCCCTGTAGATATAAAAATACATGTATAAAATACAGAAGATGGTATTTTCTTCCTTAAACATCACATTTCCTCATAAAACTGTGACTGTTGCAGTGTCAAAGGCCACCTCTCTTCTCCCAAACCACTGAACATATATTTGGGTGAAGCAGGTAAAATTTGGAAGTTCAATCAGTTCAAACACCAGCCATTTCTCTGCTGGTCCTGATGTCATGCCAAGCACACACGCAGACAGTGAGTCAAATCCACTGGGATCAAGCAGCATCTTTTCACAAATTATTTTCACCACTACTCAGTTTGGGGAATCTGGTGAGCAGTGGGAGCTCAATAAAGTACCATGAGTAGTGAATTCTCACGCATTTTCCTTGCAGTGAGGAAGTCCTGGGCTCATCAGTTATACTTTCCACACCACCTAAGAGGAAAAAAAAAGGAAAGAAAAAAAAAAAAGGAAAAAAAATTTTAAAAAAGGAAGTTCTGAAGTTAACATACACACACAAAGACACACATAAAGATTTCTACTTCATCTTCCCCTCCTCCCCCACATTTGGCTCTGTGCAGGGAGCCTACAGGAACCTGGACTTGACTCTGGGTGGTGGTGTCCCTTGTCTCTAGCCTGCATTGAGGAAGAGATGGGATCTATTAACATGGCAATTTCAAGCCCTCTCAAGTAGGAATGTGTTAACATCTTCAGATGCGAGAGATAAGGGATATTTTTGGCAGCAGAGGATTTTGGTACAGCATTGGATATAGCACTCCAGGTCATCTGAGAGCAGACAGAGACTTCAAAATGGAAAAAAGTACACCCAGTATCATGTTGGATAGGTTTCAAAGCATGAACCTACTTTACAAAACAGCTTCCTTTGAGAACTATGACCATGATACCATTTTGGCCAAAAATCTCAACTGGGAAGGGACCAGATGATGCCATGACAAAAATTCTGACTGAGGTTACTTTGAGAAAAGGCTAAACTAGTACCCTTTCATTTTCCTCAGCTTAGCATCAACTAGCTGCACTAAATCTGCTAGAAAGAGTTGAAGTGTTATTTAAAACTACCGCTATTTCTGGTGATCTAATTATTAGTAATTTAATGTGTAAACCTTGTTAGCCATTTCTGAGCATTTTATACACACCCTTTCTTAGAGCAAGATGATTACCTTGCATAAGAAGGCATCATGTTGGAGAAAGTGGAAAAACTAAACTAAAATCACTCTGCTAACATGATCTTCAAGACACTTGGATGCTTTTTTTCCAGTTAAGAAAATTATTACTTTCTGTCAAAAGCTACTTTTTATTACATCAACAAGCAAAGCATCTAGCTTAGGTCTCAAAGATCAGTTTCTTTCTGCTTAACCCATCAATATTTGTGGGACAAGAGAGATCACACAACAAATTAAACACACATATGCTACATAAAAATAAAAACCCTTCAGATTCAGTCAAAGAATAGCCAGGCAGCACTTTCCCCTCTGTGGTTCGCACTGAGTTCTGTAAAATTTGAGGTAATTGAATGAAACACCTTGGCTATTTTCCTAAAATATCTCCACATAACTTCATAATCAGCCCTTCTCTTGCTATGCTCTAGCCTTCCCTTTACACCCTTCTGGAGCAGCTCTCCTTGTTCTGTGTCCAAAGTCTTCACTAGGCCTGATATTGAAAATATCAAGAGGAAGTCCTGCCTGTTTATAAAAACATGCCCACATTCTTTTGCATGGGCTTTTATCTCCTAACTTTGATGAACTTCAGAGGGGGGAATAAACAATAAAAGTCCAGTGTCAACCATCATATGTGGAAGAAATAAAATCCCCTAATAAAAGTAATATTCTACCAACAGGTTTGGAAAGCATTTTTATCTCATGGGATTCATATGTGATAATTAAAATCCTGGTGAAGGTACATACTCAGTAGAATTGAGTAACTTGGTTATTCTCTGTAGTTTCGTAGAGGAACAGAAAAATATCCAGAAAACATTATTTGACCATAGATGGCTTTCGTGTGTGTGTGTGTGTGTGTGTGTGTGTGTGTGTGTGTGTGCGTGTGTGTGTGCGTGCGTGTGTGTGTGTAACCCTAGCATTTTAAACCCTGGAGTGCTGCTTAAAGCACTTAACAGCATTTTAGTCTATTTTTCATGAAAGATCCAAATTATGCATTTATGCATTAACAAACTTTATTTTTTCTTAAATGGACAGAGAGGTGAGGCACAAGAAGAAACACAATTTTGTTTTTCTCTGTTCTGTTACTGTAGGACAAATAATTTTGATAAAATCTTTCCTTAGAAATGCAATGAGCTAAAATAATCCCTGGTGCACAATGACCAGACCAGGAAAAAGCCAGGTCAGTCTTTTTTAATTTATAATAATTTGCTACAGAAAAGCAATCTAACAGTAAGATCTTTAACTCGGGAAATAATTTATTCACTTCTCAAATGCTATAAAAGCTGAGTTTGATAGTTAAGATCTCAGTACAAGTTAAAAGGTCACAAAAATTCAGTCCCTGCTGAAGCAAATGGCCTGCATATCACGTAAGAGAAGTTTAATGTAATTTTTATTACAATATATGTAACAGTGAGAGGTTTTTCTAACCATAAAAATGATGGATGTTGATTTCAGACTGAATTTGCTCTGGTCTAGAGTGATATCCTTTATAACTGTATAATTTAATTAGGTATTTGAACTTAGAAAGACTATTAGCAATTTTGAGCAGTCAAAAACCAGTCTCCCAGCCCTCTCAGTCTCCACCACATGTAAAGAAATGGACCTTCAATTACAGCAATCAAGTATTTTTCTGTGGCTTCCTGATTTTTGTAGAAATTTGATTAAAAGAAACACAAGTCCCACAGTTCCTGGGAAAGATGAGTTCATATCTGACACCAGTGAACACAGTAACTGGCTGGATGTGACACAGGCTGGCAGGGCTACCTCCTCTAAATTGTGCCCAGTTTCTCCTTTTTTTCATTAGTATTCTTGAAGCCAAATTTATAGAAATAATTCTGTTCTCTATTTTTTCCCATAACATATATGGTGGAATAATACCAGTACTTGCTGCCAGTATTATCCTAGCAGTGCTGCAAATACGTAGGCTAAAGGTTAATCATACGTTTTACATTTATTTGCAGCTTTTCTTTATAAGAACAATAGGTGCAAATGGGAGAAAGAATATTTGCCACCAGGAAATTTGTTAGCTGGTTTTGAAACCACACTAAGAAGTGGTAGAAATACTAATGGCCCAATTAGAACTCTTATGAACCAGAGGAAAACAATGTTCTTGGGAGTATTGTGTAATGGCATAACAGACATGTTTGTTTGGACCACAAAGAGTGTCAGATTGCAAGTGATTTTCATTATCAGGAGTACTCTTATAAAATCGTATTAACTGACAGTTATACAAACATACCTGAGTTTAAAGCACAATCATGCTTGGGAATGAGGAGCACCTTTAAAAATGATAAGGGGACTTGAATTTTATTTGAAGTCCCCTTGAAGGGGACTTGAATTTCATTTTCTTCTCCTGATAGGAAATCAGGGTTTGGCACAATTTCATACAATCACAGAATGGTTTGGTTTGGAAGGGACTGTAAAGGTAATCTAGTTCCAACAACCCTGCTGCAGACAGGGACACTTTCCACTAGACCAGGCTCCTCAAAGCCCTGTCCAACCTGGTGAACACTGCCAGGCCCTGTTAAGCTTCCCATCAACCAACACCCCTTTCTCCTCGAGGCTGCTCTCAATCCAGTCTCTGCCCAGCCTGTACCTGTGCTTTAGGGAACGCCCCAAGCCAGGTGTGATTCCAGGTGAAACTTGAAATGAAGCTTTCATTCATCTCTGCCCTTGTGGCTCAGAAGCCAAAAGGAATGAAACAGTAAGGGTACTTTAACCCTTGAGGAGGATGAAGCAATGGTAGTTATGGTAGCAAAGACTATAGTGAACAATTTAGTCATCTTCCGCAGATAATGGAGGACAACTGCAGAATATATGGAAAAACAGTTTAATCTCGTTCACGAACATGAGGGTTTTTTTTTTTCTCTCTCTCATTAGAATGCTATTTTGCTATTAACAGCTACCGAAGAGATACTATCTTGCTTTTTATTTGTTATAAACACAAAACATTCTCTTCCTGTGTTTTCCAGTTTAGTGGTATCAAGTGCTGTATCAGAGACATCTAGTGACCTCCACGTGAATCTCCTTCACACATAACTTAAATCAGTGGAGCAAGGTGACAGCATCATTTACAAATACTGATCACACTGACTACGGGTAAGTACCGTTCATTTAAAAACTAACTAAATAAATAAAAAGCCATGTTGAAGTTTGCCATCCCAAATGTCTATACCTTGCTGAGTTCTTTGCTTCCTGTTTCTAAAGCTCAGCAAAACTAGCCTCAGCCCTCCACTGAGAGAGGGAGGACACTAGGGTCCTGCCTGTTTTTCCTGATATTTCAGGGCATAAGTGAGTTGCTCAGGACAATGATTTGGAAGAGAAAAGAAAATGTAGAAAGCACAGGACAAGGTAGCAATAAGACAGGAGGGAAACAACAGCAGAACAGCATAAAATCAATGTGAACAGAAAACATGAGTGGAGTTGGGGCCATTTAAGTACAGAGAAAAAATAAAGAATTTTCAAGGTTGAGGTATGACTAGCACTATGAAGGAAAAAAAGAATAACTTTCAGGAGGTTAAGTATACAAAGGAATGGCTAATAAACAGGGTCATGGAAGGAACACACACCCACTTTCATAATCCGAAATTCAATTCTAGTGTCTGTATTTCTCAAAACAGTCAAGAAAGGAGTGTCGACCAATGTTTGTCTTTAGCATGTTTTGCATTTCGCTCCCTACATTGTGCAACACAACCTGCTCTCAGAACATCCTTTATTTGCTAAACTAGCATTGAAATTATAAACCTCTCGATTATAAACATGTAAACACAGAAAGATTGCCTCAATACTCAAATCTCATTTGTTCTTTATTGGATCTGCATCCTTGACTCTGAGCTTCTGTGAGATGCAGATCAAAAGAAAACAGTTTAGAAGATATGACAGTTATACGGAATATTCTATTAGACAATTTATAAACAAGCATAGTATAAATGCAAGAATGTTTAGGTATCTATTTTAGTTTGCTCCATCTTATCAAAATGCTGATGAAAATCAAGAGAAGTTTAGAATTTATCAGATCTACATCAGCTCTTCTGAGGAGTCCATCATACAGAACTGCAGTCACCCTCCAGGGTTTCCAGGCCATCAGTCAGCATGTGAAACCCACTAATGGATGCTAAGCCTCATCCTCTTCTCACACTTCCCTCACATGCAGTTTCTTCCAGATGCAATCCTAAAATTACAAAGGCCCAGGTTCTGCAGTGACCTTTTCTAAGGCTCCTCTGGATACTAGGTAACAGCTTGCCTTGTGTTCTGGGTTAT